ACGTACGTCTGGAGACATTTTGCAATAGCCAAATAGGATAAGGATGATAGAAGTGCTGCTGGCATTTAGTGCAGAAAGGATGTTGCTAAAATATCCTGTTTGGAGGATAGTTCCCGTAACAAAACCTCAGCCCAAAATGAATACACTGCTAAGAGTAAGAAATCTTTTTCTTTTTTTCTTTTTTTTTTTATTTTTTGTGGTGCTGGGGATTGAACTCACAACCTTGCGCTTGCCAGGCAGGTGCTTATGCCACTGAGCTAAATCCCCAGCCCCAAGAGTAAGAAATCTTAATATGGAGAAAGGAACACTAAACAATCTTTTCAAAGAAATCATTACACTAGAACCCAGTACAATAAGTACTCAAAATAAAGTACCTAGACCTAAAAAAAAAAAAAAAAAAAAAAAAAAAAAAAAAAAGCTGATATATTAGTCACCTGCCTTAGTAAGGCTATAATACAAAATTTCCAACAGAAATGGTTTTTAATGTATTCACATAAAAGAACAAACTCCAATTATTGGGTATGACTATTACATGAAATGTCACCTCCTAATCTTCCTCCCTGTGAATCTGGACTGGACTCAGTGACTTACTTGATCAATAGCATGGAACAGAAATGATATTCTGGGACTTCCAAGCCAAAATCGTAACACTAGGATGGGCAATGGATCCCAATGGCGTCCACATCTTAATTCCCCAACTTGTGAATATGTGACTTTACACAGCAAGAGACTCTACAGGTGTCATTAAAGATTTTGAGAGAGATTACCTTGAATGATCTGGTTGGCCCTACATGTAATCACAAGAGTCCTTCTAAGAGGAAGGCAAAAAGGTCAATGAGAAAGGAGATAATGCAACAGCTGAAACAAGATTCCAGCGCTGCGCCAAGAAGCAAGAATGCCAAATGCTGGAAAGAAGCAAGCAACAGATTCTCCCTGGAGCCTCTGCAAGGACGAATCTTACTTGCTGACACTTTGATTTTAGCCTCGTTGGACTCCTTTTGGACTCTGGGCCACACAACTTTAAGAGAATAAGTTTGTACTGTTTTAAGCTATTAGATGTGTGACAATTTGTTACAACAGAAAAAGGGAACCAATACGAATCTACCTAGCTTTGTGAACATCTCCTCTGGGAGCCCAGACCCGTTATCTAAGTGTTAAAACCATTCTGAGGCTGTCACACTAGTGAGACCCCAAAGTGTTCCAGCGGGGGCCAGCCTTGTGCAAGTAAAGCCGTTTTGGACCCCCTGTTCATTCTCTCCTGCTGGGCCTGTATTTCCCTTATCTCTCTTGTATTATGTTAACCAAGGCACTGAAGTATGTTCATTGGTGCATCTTAGTTTAGGGTACGAGATCATCCCCGATCTATTCCCGATGTGAGATTAACAGAATTGTTTCTTTCTCAATTACTCCTGAGCAACGGGGCAACTGCTGCTAAAGGCCCAGGATCCCTATGGCCAAAAACTGTGTGACAAATCTCACTTGTGATTATTCTACATATTCAACTTAATACCAGGTTTTTATCATTTTGTCAAAAGCCATTTAAGCTACATGGCAAACTCAAAACAAAACTAATTCTACCTTAAGTGAACAATCACAGTAAGTTGGATATTAATTTCTCAGGGAAAAATGTGGGGGTGTTTTCTTACTTTCTTCTTTTCTGATAAATTTACTTGGTATTAAAACAAAAAACTAAACTAAAAAAAAAGTTGGAAATTGTAAGATTAAAGTTTAAAATTATATGATTAGCCAGGCACAGTTGCGGTATATGGCTGGAACCCACGCAATTCTGAAGGCTGAGGCAGGAGGATCACAAGTGCAAGGATAGCCTAGAGAACCATCAAGCCCTCGTCTCAAAAAAATAAATACACACACACACACACACACACATACCCTGGTTCCATCCCCAGTACCAAAAAAAAAAAGACCAAAAAAGTACATGGTTAATAGATATGGATGTAGAAAAGTACAAAAAACAAATTTAAAAGCACAATTTCTACTTATACAAAGGGAAAAAAATGTAAGCTAACAAAACTCTATTATTGATAGAAAAACTGCTATATTCATCTTGCTACATCTATTTGCTATTCATAAAAATAATTTTTTAAACATATCTTAAGTGCACATTTAACAAAAACATTTGCCAAGAAGCTTTTTTTCAAATTGTATCGCTCATTATGTTGCCTGCCCAAGAGCCAGCTCTTGTTGTCTCCATGTAATTCTACAGTGAGCATGAGTTGCAATACCTCACCTAAGAATAAAGCCAGTCTGCGCGATGGTCTCTGATGACGTCCATCCTTTCATTTACTCACTCTATGCAGTACCCTCCCACGATGTTCCATAGCAAAAGAGATGCACGGTTACTTTTAAGGAGTTATAATAGACTACAGCTCCCAGTCTAGTTGGCCTCCGTCTGTCTGACTGACTGTGTCTCTTTCTTGCATACACTTACTTATTCTAGATGAAACCAGCACCCATGACTTGAAAACACCACTCAGGCAGCCCTGCAAGAAGACCATACAGCAAAGAACTGACACTTCAACTCAAAAACCATGACAGTCGTTTTGCAAATGCGTTTTCCAGACCATCAAGAATTCAACTTTGTAAGACCCTATGAGCCAGAAATACCCAACTAAGCTGCTGCAGGATTCCTGAGTATCAGAAATTGTGAGATAATACATGCTTGTTTTGGGAAAATTTGTTATACCACAATGGTTAACTAACACAATGAGCACTGCCATCTTCAAAACCAAAATGTTACATTATAATAGAAATAGAGACATTAGTTACAAAACTTAAGAAAAATTGCTATCAAAATCTTGGCTGCTGGGGCTTAGCATATTGAGATACAGCATAAACTCCTTTAAAATTGGGAAAGAAAGAGTTTGTAATTTTAAAAAAATCGTAATCTCTTATTTAACCACGATAAGACATCCCAGTCTGCCTTATCTTTACAAATTTATTCTCAGGTTTTATCTTGTCACAAATTAAACCACATGCGTACTGATAAACATAGAAGAAAGATAAGGACAAATATACTACATTTCAGCAGATTTCACTAACCATGTCAAAGTAAAAATGATTTTTGTCTACAATGTTTCCATACTAAAAAATTTCATCAGTTCATCAGTACCCTTTCCAAGGACACACAGACTTCTGTAGTGGGAAACTACCCTTTGAACAGTAAATTTGTTTCATTAGAAAGTGCACTTGGTACACACACAGTGAAATCCTTTTTAAGGTCTATGATTAATGAATAAGATCATCTGTTCAGTGATGATTCTAGCTCTCTCATAACTATAAGTACTGATATCTGTGTGAGCACCAAGACTGCACTAAAAAATTAAAGCAGCAGCATCTCTAAGTGACAGCTAAAACAAAAGCAGTAACAGTCAGTAAAAGTTCTTTACCATATAAACAGGAAATCAACACTGGAGTATCATTGTTCCTATATACTTGTTTCTTCTGAACAATATGTTACCAGTCTCATTCTCTCTGTCTCTCTCTTTCAACTTACATAAGTTTAACTGATGCTAAAATCATGTAAATTTTTAAACTATTATCTGCATTGGAAAATGGAGTATCCTCCTGTGATACTGCCTGCATGTTCAAAAGTAAAAATGTATGAGATAAAATGTATTCAGTCTTATAGCAGGACATGTTTTTCAATACCATCATCAAATCAGATTCAAAGGGCCCTGCAATCTTGCAACATGTTGACAATGCAGAATTTCCAGTAAATTACTTTTGCTCAAATAGTTTTGCCTATCCAGTGTCAAAAATTAACACTGTAATGTGATTGTCTATATTGTTTTCCAACGAACACATTTTCAGACTTGAGTATATGAAAACTACAGAGTGCACACAAAATTACAATATGCTTGTGTATCTAATTATGATTTCCTGTAACATTACAACTTGTTTAATAACTGAGGTGATTGCAATGTTATATTTTCCTCTAAAACCACTGTGGGGAAACAAGGTCTGGAGAAACCTTTTCCATATGTTCCATGAACTGATCAACAAAAGAACAAACAAGTACAATTAATAAGTTTCTGAAGTAGTAAAGATAACTCATGCACAAAGTCCAATGATACAAGTGCCTCGGGCAAATCAAACTTCATGTTCCAAATCAACAATTTATGGGGATGTTTATATATACCAACTTCAGGAGGGTAAAGGTACACTTTTTCAAAACCTTTTAACACTTAAAAACATAATTCATAGTATTTAAATGGCAAAAATATTTTAAGACTGATTCCGTTTTGGTCCTTTGCTCCTTTCAGTCTTTTGATTTTCTTGAACTTTCAGCCTTTTCACCTAGACTCAAATTCTGATCCACCACATTCTGCACTTGTTTTAAAAATATCCTATTTTAACACGTTAGTTTAAAAATAGCTTTGCTTCCATTCTTCCAGGTTAATTTTCGGCAGAACGCTTTTATTGTATAGCCACAGATTTCCCTCCCGCTCTGCAATACCTTATTTATCTCATTCTTTCAAACTTGGGGCAACAAAACCTGGAGTTCAGTGTGGACCTCCTTGGGCTTCCAACTATGGATCTGCGTTCCGGGCTTGCTCCATCCTTTCCGTTTAGCTTCGATTGCTTAATACAACCAGAAGCGCCCAGAAACAGCAGCGGAGAGCATCCCTGTCTCAGGAGGCTACAACCCGTTTGGGGAACTCCCAGATTCTCCGTCTGACAACCATTCAGGAAACTTTCTCCCTGCCCGGCGGGTTCGCAGCACTCTCGGGACTCGCCAACTGCGGGGGTGCACGCTCTCGTGGGGCTGCCAGGGCTTGGGGCTCATGGCGCATGCAAACCCAACTCCCAACAGCGCCGGCTGGACTCGGGGTCCACGGGCCCGGAGACACCAGCCAGGCGTGGCCCCAACCTCCCGGCCTCCGGGCAGCTGCGCGGGCGAGCGCGCCCCTACCGTCCCAGGCGCGGGTCCCCGCCAGGCCGGGGCTCCAGCAGGGGGGCGCCCCGCCCCCGCCCCTCACCTTGGGCGATGGCGATGGACTCGAAGCGGTGCAGCTCCTTGAGCAGGCAGCTGCGCTCGGTGGAGTGCAGGCTGTAGATGAAGTCGCGCGCGCCCTGCGCCGTGTTCAGCGCCTCCATGGGCTCCTTCTTGGGGTGTGTGCCCAGCCGCCGGGCGCTGCACCAGGGCGGCGGGCGGGGCGCGAAGGCAGCGGCGGCTGGGCCCGGTCTCAGGCAGCGCGCGGGCCGGCACCTCAGCAGCGGCAGCAGCCGGGACATGGCGGGCGGAGCGTGGCCCCGCCGAGCCGGGGCCGGGGCCGGGGCCGAGGGGAGGCGCTGGGCTCAGCCCGACCCGCCCCGAGCTCCTCCGGACTGGCGGCCGCGGCGCCGGGCACCATGCACGCCGCGGGCCCCCGCTCTTGCCCCCGGGGCCGCGGGGCTCCGGCCCTCCGACCCGACAAACTTTCCGGAGCCCGGGCCCGCGGAGCTCAGGGCGGGCGGGCGTGCGGGCGGGCGCCTCCCGGCTGAGGAGGAGCGGAGCGAGCGCGGGCACGGGAGCGGGCGCTCGGCGAGGGTCTGCGACTGTCACTCAGCGCCCGGAGGGATGAGTCAGCCTCGCGCCGCCCCCCCGTGGCGCCGCCCTCCTCTCCCGCCGGTTTTCCCACCCTTCTGACTCCCCGATCTACACTCCGTGGGGCTCCGCGCCCGCCCAGCAGCCGCCTCCCAGGCCCCGGCCGCTGGCGCTGCCCTTAGCGGCCGCCCCGAGAGCGTCAGGGCGGGGCGCGGGGAAGGGGCGGGAGTGGGCGGGGCGGCGCAGGCGCAGAGCTCTGACCCCGCCCCGCAGCGCTCACCGGGAGGGGGCGCGCGCCTCCCTGCCCCCAGGGCGTACAGATGGAGGGAGAAGGAGCCCCGCTGGCCTGCGGCCCCCGCCGCGCTAACTCCACCGCGGCGGAAAGGCAAAACGAGTTTTGAACCCCTCTCCCGGACAGGCTGTGAGCTCCCCTCCCCACCCCGCACCGTCCTCAGTCTGGATCTTGCTCTGAGCGGTGCCCCGCCTTGCAGCTCGCTCTCCCAGGTGCAGCGCCCCGCTCAGGCCTTCGGAAAATGCGGCGTCGCAGCCGCGCCCTTTGCCAGGTCAGCGCCCACCGCGACCAGCCCGCCAACCACCGAGGCGCCCGCCGGCGAGGGTGCTCCCAGGAGAAGCGGGGCCGGTTCTACCCGTTCTCTCCCGAAGAGCAGGGTTAGAGACTGCGGTCGGTCGAGCCAGAGAACTCCCGCCCCTGCCCTGATGACTGCGACCGCGTGCAGATCGCTGATGCTGGAGCCCGAGGCAGCAGCGTCTGCGGCCTCTTCTGGGTCGCTGCTTGTGGGTGTGCTGTGTTGTGTCTTGTTTTGTCTTGTTTTCCCCTTCATCTTGGGGCGGAAAGAACTCTGCCATTGTCCAGTATTTTTATGTGTCTAGGTCCAAGCCAGCTGTAAGGCCTTTGTCAAAGGGTCTTCTTCATCCTGAGGCTTTCTCTTATCTCTTCGATACTTTATCTGAGCTTAATGACATTTAGGCACCCCCTTCTTAGGGAATAAATCCACTTAGACAAATAAATCTGCTCAAATGAAATGGAGATTAAATCTCCTCCTGATCGTAGGCACCAGGGCACCCAGCCCAGAACCTTGTGCTATTAAATATGTAAATACGATACAGTCAGCCCACTGTGGGTTCTGGGTTTGTGGGTTTGAAAACATTGTACTTGCACTGAACATGTACAGATTTTTTTTCCTCATTATTTGCTTACTATACAATATAAGAGCTGTTTCTGTAGCGTTTACATTGTATCGGGAATAAAGTATTCTAGAAATGATCTAAGCTAATATGCAGTAAACCATGTTTTAACAAACCCTGCAACTAAAACTGATGCTTCCATAAGTTTGGAAGCCACAGCCCTTACTTCAAGAAGTAGGCAGTGAAATCGTTTAAAAACATTCTCATCTCTGTGACGTTACAGTTAAGATGTTCTTTATGATTGGGTGTAGTGGCGCTGCAACCTTGTAATGTCAGCTTTGGAAGGCTGAGGAAAGAGGATTCCAATTTTGAGTCCCACTTGGGCAATTTAGCGAGGCACTATCTCAAAATTAATTTAAAAAGGGGCCTGGACATGGCTCAATAAGAAAACCCTGGCTTCAATCCTTATTACAGAAACAATCCCAAAAAAGCACTATGGAGTATGCTTTTTGAGTGCAGAACCCGTGCCTTGTCGTTGAACCCCAAACCTCATGTATCCTAGAATCGTCTACAGTTTTCAGTCTCAGTTACCTGAGCTTATTACCCTCTCCACAGAGCCTCCCTATATCTAAAACATTCTGATTCACTAGGCTTGCCATGAGGATGGGAAATGAAGTTTTAAAACACTTCTCTGTAAGAACTCATCTCCAGGGTGGGGGATTTAACTCACTGGCATAAACACCTGCCTGGCAAGTGCAGGTTGTGAGTTTGATCCCTGGTGCCACCAAAAAAGCAAAGAACTCTTTCCCAACAGCCTGTAGGATAAAGTGTGACCCCCAGATTTATTACTGTCTACCTATGCGTTAGTGATAGCTTGCTAACAATAGTGATCCTGGGTGAATCCCTCTTCTGTTTTCCACTCCCTTGTGCAATCCTGTTCCAATTAACTCCGGGTTTGGCCATGTGACTTGGCTTGGCCAATAAATGAGACGTAATAAGCCCGATCTGGTAAGTATTTGCTCATCACAGTTTACAGTAATACCTTGCAGTATTATTTAAGAATATTCAATCCTGTTACATAAAAAGTAGTAGCAAAAGGTAAAATGTAGAAGCATGTCAAATATGTATTATACCTAAAAAAATGGATACATAGTGAACATAGTTTTTAAAAGGATGTAAAAAGCACAAGTGATGCTTTATATAGAAAGAGGAAAGTCAAGTGAACTTTACACATTAAGGAGGCACAGTTCATATTACCTTTAAATTGCCAGCTATGTCCTACCTAAATTGGAAACTTATTGGTGGCACCCATTGTAGCCCTCGTAATGTCTCTGCTCAAGAAAAGCAGATAATTTCAATAGACCCAGACTGTAAATTACCCCACATTTTTGACAAGATGCAGTTGCCGATTGTTTCTCCAACAAAGCAGACGTATGGTGGGTATGACAATTCAGATCTAAAATGTCCCTAGAGGTATCATATTTTCATGGGTGGGGCTTTGTAAGGTGATTGGATCACAAGGGCAGTGGACTCACCCATTGATGAGTTCACAGCTGCCTGTGCTATTAGAAGGGGAACCTGGCTGGAAGTGTCACTAGGGGCATGACCTGGAAAGTGGTTCTCTTGTCCCAAGCTTTTCTCTTCTTTCTCTCTCTTCCTGGCTACAAAGGAGTAAACAGCTTTCCTCCACCATCCTCTTTTGAGCTTGAAGCCAGTAAACAGTGGACTGAACCCTCTGAAACAGTGAGCCAAAGAAATAAACCTCTCTTTTAAGTTGTAAGTGTTGAGTATTGGGTCTCAGTGATAGGAAAGATGACAAATACAGGAGGTTCAGGCCACTTCAATCTGCTGAAATCTTGCTTACTCTGTATTTTGGTTCTTATACTCTGCAGAGAAGACTAGCACAGCAAAGAAGGACAATACATATAAACTTTGCATGCAGTCGAATTTAGGTACTGTGCTCCTTCCAGCCTGTCCTAAGCTTTTTAACCTACCCTAGCTCTTGCCCTTGCTTTTCACTCTGTTTTATATCTGCTTGTAAACCATTCTGTTACTGTTCCTGCTCTTGAGGGAACACATCACACCAAAACTTTAGCGATTTGAACAGTTTGTTGTGCTTACAATTTTATGACCCAGAAATCTGGGAAGAACTTCCTTGGGTAGTAATTTTCTAAGTATCTTATGTAGTGGCAATCAGATGTCAGTAGAACCTGCAGTCCTTTGAAGTTCACCTGTGCTGGACAGCTTAGACAGCTCACTCTTGGGACAGGCAATTCATGCTGGCTATTGGCAGGCTGTTAATTTCAAAGCACCTCACAGCCTCTCTGGCATAGTGAACTTGTCACTGGCAGCTGACGTCCCCCTAAATGAAAGTCTGAAAAAATCAGGCTCAGAGCCTTTACTGACTTAACCTTAGAAGTCATGGAGCATTATTCCCACTATATTCTACTGGCTAAATTGTAGCCAGCCCAGATTCAAAGGCAAGATATAACTCCCAGTGGGAACAAAGAAAAAATTTGAATGCCATATAGCTAATGTGATTTAAGCATCTTAATTCGGTCTGTATTTCTATCTGATGTGTCACCTATGGGAAAACCAATCTGTAATATGCTTAGAGGTTTCTGTGCTTCCAGGTAATTTCTACATGACATTTCCCCTGTTGGAATACAGCTGCTATGTAAAGAAGTCTGAGATATTTTACTGGAAAGACCACTTGTAGAAGGGGGTCCTAAAATACTGCTAGATATATACATGAGGTCATACTGGTTCCAACAAAACCTCAGAAGACTTCATTGCAAAGTGGTTAAAAACATTAACCAAGTAATCTCCAGGTAGTCTCAACCAAGACTACTTGGATTTGAGTCCTTACGTTACCATTTATTAGTTGTATAACTTTGAGCTAATAAATCAACCTTTCCATGGTTACTCATCTATTTGATGGGGTTAAAATCATGGTACTCAATTTGCTGACCCACTAAATGGAAATAAAGGCTTCTTCTTTATAGGGTTATAATGAAACCAAACAGTAAAGACAGCACCTGACACACAATGAGTGTTTGATAAATATGAGCTATCTATCCAATTCCCATAGACTTCTTAAAACTTTAGGGTTATGTGCTTGGACCATAACTTTGGAAATGCTTACCTGGCTATTGGATGTAGATTGACTGCATCCTCCATTGTTTTTCTCTGCATAATACCTTAAGTATGAATAAGCAGAGGCGGTAAAGAAAGGAGCATTTGGGGTTCTTTTATGGAGCTCTAGGAAAGCTTAGGAAAAGGTAGGTCTAGATGTGTGTGACAGCAAGGAGGCTCTGGGAAATAGAAACATGCAGAAGAGACTGGAGAAGATTACAGAAATGGAAGAGGGAGGAAGACGCAAAGGTAAGCTGGCCTGCATTCAGTCCAGCTCACGCTGTACTTGTAAGGGTGACAAGCAGCATGTCTTAGTCAACACTTAGCCTCCTCCTCATGGAAACTTGTAGCTGACCCACCACTCCACGGTCGGCCGCGCCACGAAACTACCTTCCAGAGGCTGGCACCCCTGTTGCTGGCTGGGCAAAGGCTTCTTGCTGTTTACAGCTTACAGTGTGATGAAACAAGCTGTTACTGTTCACTGTAAAATTCTTCATTTGTGTAGTGAAAACGCCAGTTATTTCTTCTGTTCACAGCTTTGCAGTCTCCTCATAGTACCTCGCATTCACCAAGTTCTTGCTTTGTGTCCGACCCAGAAGGCCTTCCCTCCCTCATTGAAGCTGTATTGAAAATTGCTGCTTCAAAATAAGTGACAACATTTTATTAGAGAAATTAAAAAGATTAAATAAAAAGAACGGAAATAATTTGAACTCAATTGTATAAGATGTCAATTCTCTTCAAATGCCAGGGTCCTTCTGAGAAACAGAACCAACAGGATGTATAGAGACACATAGAGATTTGTTATGAGAGAGTGGCTCATGAATTATGGAGGCTG